GCTGCTTTGTGCAGTTTCCACCTCATCATCAGCTGGACTGTGAGAGGGAGTGTGGGGGTGTAAATCATTCAAGCTTATCACCCCATAAATGTTAGATAGCAGGGAACTGTCCATGTCCTGCCAGGAAAAGGCTTTTCCCGTGCCTTTGCTAGTAAAGGAGGCACCTTTTATGTGTCTCCAGAAGAATAGGCCCTGGTAATTCTGAAGCAAAGAGCCAGGGGGCCCCCAGATTCCAGCACTGGTTACTGCGGATGTTGCTTGGGTCTGTGACACTGCAGTCACAGGTGGTAATTATTGCATATGGGGAAGTGTGTTGTCAGACAGAGGAAGCAAAAGGGAAATGAGCAAAACCAAACCAAAACAAAGCAGCTAAAACCCCAGGGCAAGTGGAAAGCCAGAGCTGGGAGCTGGGAGGCAGGCAGATCCGTGCAGCTCCCGACAAGCAGTAGCTTTGCTCAGGCTGTGACCTCAGCTTCGTCACAGGAATAATCTCACTTGCAAAATAGGCGTGGGAATTTCAGATGACATCCTGGCACCTCCTAAGCCTCTAGAATTGTGTCTATTTTAATTAGTTCTTCACCACAAAGAACCCCTTTCCCCTAAGAGACCAAATTGTAAGATAAAGTCTTTTCTCTAGGAGTTTAATCCCATCATGATACAAGCACTAGGTGATGACTGCTTTGCTCCTGAGCCAGGGTCTTTCGTAGCTTCTCTTCCTCAACTGGATTCTGCTTCCTTGTGCATTGTGGGCAACAGTTCCCGGAAACTATGCATAAGTTACTCTATGATGGAAAAAGAAACCGCCCTGAAATCTCAGGGTGTTAAGACGGAAAGGTTATTCTGGATCACCTAGTGGGCCATGTGTGTTCTCGGGGTCCTCACAAAAGTTGCAGAAGTCGGAGGGGAGAGAGATGACAAAGGTCGAGGTTGGAGTGGCTGGGCTTGAAGACTGAGGAACAGGACACCAGCCCAGGAGTACAGGCAGCATCTGGAGGCTGGGATGGGAGAGAAAAGGGATTCTTCTCTAAGCCTTTAGCAGGGATACGGGTGAGGACACCCCGAGTTCTGCCCATCACGACCCCTTTAAGCTGTGACCTTGAGAACTGAGAGCCACACCCTAACAAACCCCTATTTCAGCCACTGCCTATGGTGATTTGCTACAGAAGCAACAGGTAACCAATGTACACACACTGCGAGCCAGTGCTTTCGTCCCAAAATCTGAATGGAAACACCACCTCGAACCTCTGCTGGCTTCCAGAGCCCAGCTCACCCACAGCTGGAGCAACTCTGTTGCTGGGGAATGCATCGGAAAGTAGGGATTTGCAAAGACGTTCCCAAGAACCCAAGGAGGCTGAGCAAATCAGCCTATGCAAGATGTGTGAGGCTGGTGTCCAAAAAAGGTGACAAACCCAGACCCAGGAGGGTGCCCAGTGGCAGATGCCCTGCAGGCAGGAAGCAGGTCCAGGAGTTGTTTCTAGGACTTCATTTTTGGTGAGATATTAACATTGTCAAAGACTCAATAAGGGGTAATACATTTCAATGCAATTCCCTTAAAAAGTACCCATATTTGAGCATTGAGTACCTGTTCTAGGCTTATTTGCTGAACGGGGATGGAGGCCAGGGCCCAGGTTACACGAGGCAAATGCTCTCAGCTGCCCGGCCCCAACACACAATGCCAGCAAACCTTCTCACAAAACAGTTTTTGCTTAAAATTATGGAGGTTTTTTTTTTTTTTTTTTTTTTTTTTTTCCTATATGCTGTGTAAGGGCTGCTTAACGCTGTGTAATGAAGAATACTTGGACTACACCACGGCTCGGCTCATTTTATTTGCTTAAGACTGAAGCTGCATGGAAAGTGCAACCCCACCTGCCGCAGGGCAGAGACCACAGCACCCAGGGGCTGGGAGAGGGTGACCGGGCAAGGACGCAGAGCGGTCTGCTCATCCGAGGCAGGTGTGGGGTGGCGGCCCCAGGAGTGGTGGAATCCACATCCCTTCTGCAGGACGTCGCATTGGCAGCGGCTCAGCCCACCAGCTAGTCCCTGTCATGAGGTGCCGGACCCTGATGCCTGCTTTGCTTGCTGCGCTCTCTTGTTCCAATCTGCAGCACCCCTGCCTTTTTGGTTAATCACAGATGACACCCACGGGCACACAAACACCCGCATGCATCACGCACATGCATCTATGCATTTAAAGTATTTGCTTCTGCTTTTTATTTTTTATTAGTCCGCATTTGCAGCACATGATGGGTACCTGCCTGGTGGGGCGCCGGTCTGGGGAGGTAACCCATCCTCGTTAGTTTTTAATCTCCGTCCTCACCGTACCCCCTGGTTTCTCTAAATGCATTTGAAATAGGAAGTGTGATGTGGGTAGAGGTCGCATCTCTACACGCAGTCAGGCCGAGAGTAGGGACAGGGCAGCTGTGATGGTGAAGACACAAGTGGAAATGAGAAGATTCAAATTTTGGCTTGTTCCGGGGTCCACTCCTCAAGGCGACAGGACCAGATCTCTGTGCCCACCCGGCCACCCGTGGTCATAATGATCTGTCCACTCCCCATGTTGCCTGCCTTGCATAATGATTTCAAGAGCGATTCTCTGGGATGTATAGTTTTGAAGATCCAACACTCATGCAACCGTGGCTGCAAACCATGGTGCGGCGCCTAAGTGTTCGGGAATAGCAGCTAGAGGTCCCTCTGGGTTGCCAGCAGAGGGAGAGAATCTGAGGAGGTGTGGGTGACTCCAGACAGGCAACATGCTGGATTTATGCAGCCTCACCTCCAGACTTCAGTGCCTGGAGAGCAAGGGGACCCAGGCAATCCTGAGTGACCATCAAGACAGCTGCTTCTGCATTCAAACAGGACCATTCAGACAGTGCAGACAGATGCCTGCGCCTCAGGAGGGACAGCGTGCAAACCTTGGCCCTGCCAACTTTCAAGAGAAACCACGAGAAAGAAGACTGAGACACCCAAAGCTTTTTTGTTTCTGTTTTTTACATTTGTTTGTCCAGTCTTTATTTTTTTATTAGTACATGTTTGTAGTCCATGATGATCACTTTCTTCCTGCAGAGTGGTTACCCGGACAAAACACATCTCTGTTGGTTTTTCATCCTCTTCTCCTCCCCTTTCTCCCCGTTCCCTCCATCTCTGGCTCCTCTTCCCATTTGCAAAAGATCTCTGTCCCTATTTCCTATTACTTATTATGACTTTTGCTGCTATAAACCTGGGTATGTGTGTATCACTGTAATATGATGTCCTTAACTCCTTCAGGAAGATACTTAGAAAGGGAATAGCTGGACCAAATGGAATTTCCAGTTTGTTTTTGGAGGAATCTCCATACTGATTTTCATAGTGGTTATACTAGTTTATATGTCCACCAACAACTTAGAAGGGTTCTTTTCCCCTGCACCGTCACCAGCATTTGTTATTACTTGACTTCTTGATGAGGGCCATTCTTTCTGGGGTGAGATAGAATCCCAGGGTTGTTTCAATGCCTAAGTTATTTTTAATTATTCAAGACAAACTAATGAAAATAACTACAGTCTCCACTTCCTGCTGTGTTGCATGTTTATGTACAGATTGTTTGCTATCCATTACTGAAATGCATTTATTTTGTAGACAAAGGATTTTAAGGCATTGGGCCAATTATGGTGTGACATGGTAAATGGAGTCTTTAATAAGATAGTTTGTGGACTGCATGCTGACTGTGTCAATGTCTCCAGAGTCCTGGTGAGTTTGGAGAAGGTGAACTTTCTTCTTGTCCTGTGACCAGTACAGTCTATTTACTGTGCTGTGTATGTATGTTTGTATGAAGTGCTATTTTATGTGCTAATAACATTAGGTAATGTAATTTCATTAGCTATGGAAGAATCAAAGAAAGGGATGTGTAGTGATTAACAACACAATTTCAAATCCCTGGATCACCTGGGATCTGATCTTGGGGCAATTTTCTTGCTCATCCTTGTCCTCCTCTCCTTCTCTTCCCATCCTTTCTTTTCTCCCTTCTGACCTCTGTCTTCTTCCCTTCCTTCTTTCCTTTCTCTCTTTTTTTTGAGGTGGTAGAGATCAAACCCAGGGCCTCACATGTTAGGCAAACTCTTTACCAGGTTCTGCACTCCTACCCCAGGGCAAATTTCTTAATTTCTTGAACTTTGGATTTTCCTCTGTGATACTGGGGATGCTGACAGTGGTAATAATACACAGTTACTGACGTTTACATACAGGGTTATTTTGTGATGTGTACTATTCAAACACTTTGAGCTTGCTAATTCTTTTAATCTTCACATCAACTCCATAAAATGAACAATGGACGATTCCCCAGTTTAGAGATGAAGAAATGAAACTGCAAAGAGATGATGCAAGCTGACCAAAGTTAAACAGTGACCAAGTGAGCTAGGGTCCCTACTTATTCTGGCTCCAGGTTTTTACCCAGATTATAGCTCCCTTATAAGAACTGTTTAATGCACACATGTAAAACACTTAACTTTCCATGGCATTTTAGAAGTGATTCATAATTTTTGTCTAGTATACTACATTAAAAATGGCACACAGTATGAACTTAGTGACTTTTATTGGCAATATTGTGAAATACCAGAGTGTAAAAACAAAAACAGAACAAGAAAAGATAGTTAAAACTTTCCCCAAAGTCTGTTTCAGTTGGTAATGTAATAATAGCAAAATTTGATGTTAATATCTTTGTAAGAATAGTGAAAGTATTAAGTCTATGGGCTCAAAAATGAATGAAGGTTTAGTAGAGTAAAAAGCAATTAGTAGTCTTACAATGTTTCCCTATTATACTTATGTGCAAGTTCAATTCTAATACTGAAATTATAATAGTGCAGATATTAATTAACTAAAAATATATACAAACATGCAAGATTAAAGCATTTAGCATCAAATAAAATCAGTCATGCCTGGCAAGGTGGTGCACACTAATAATTCCAGAACTTGGGAGGCTGAGGCAAGAGGATCGCTGTGAGTTCAAGGCCAGCCTGGGCTACAAAGTGAGTTCAAGTTCAGCCTGAGCTGCATAGCAAAACCTTAAAAAAGACTAAAAAAAAATCATTCTTTTTTCTTTGTTGTCACTGTAGAAAGTGCTGGGGTTTCTTTGTAGCATATATTAATGCTTTTTCATCACATACTTTTTGCTCTACTAGTATAAAATATATTCTCTCTAAGTCACCACCTTACAGGATTTACATCCTACAACTATTAGTTTTAGGGTCTGAAGCCTAACATAAACATTAGAAAAGCTTTTCAGAGGAAAGTTTGAAATCAGATAGTTTAAAGCTAAAACACTGAAAACTCTACACCTATGTATGAAAAAATTATTGAGAAGCATTCTCTGCTTGGCTCGTTGGGGTCCTTAATGTTACTGGCCATTGGGGTGTTGTTATGAGCACATCTAGCCTAACATCTGAGAAAGAAAAATTAACACAAATGGCCTCAAAAATAAATATTCAGACAAAGAAGTGCAGTGGAGCATGGTGGTGCCCACTTGTAATCCCGGTACTCAGGAAGCTGATTGCTACAAGCTCAATGCCAACCCGAACTACATAGTGAGACTCTGTCTCACAAAAGAAAAAAATGAAATGCACAGCACAGCACAGTGTTTAAGCGAGAATTAGAAAGTAAACCATAACTTATGTGTTATTACTGGGCTTGCGTATTCCCCTCTTTTTTCATCTCTTAACATATCTTCTCAGAATACAATGTGATTTTTGAAACAAAGTAGAGTGTATCCCAGTTTTCATACAGTAAGAACAAGTGGCCTGGGTAAAGAACTGTAGAAAGCTAAGGCTTCAAAATCCTGCCCTTTCAGGCAGGTAGAAAAATTTTGGCAGGAAGTAAGCAGCTTAAGCGGCTAACCCCCGACCTTCCAATATTTTCTGTACCAATTTCTTGACTCCTGGAGCATCTGGATCCAGGCAGAATTTCTTCCCCTCTTTCAATGTGGCTCTGCAAGAGAGGACAGAAACATCTGTGAGCATCCTACCCTGGGGAGTGGAACAGATCCAGGAGGCCAAAGAAGACGGTGCAGAGGGACAGAGGTGGAGGGCTTCCCAAGTAATACAGAAGTGGGGACTTACATCACTTGGACCTTGGGACAGTGGGCTCCTGCCTTGATCACCTCCAAGCTGGAGATCTTGCTGGGGTGCATCCCGGAGACTGTCCTCACACACAGGCAGCGCAGTTCAGCAAACATATCTATACTTTCAGCTATGGTAGAATGTGTGACCGTGTTAGTGGTTATGTTTATTTTCCTCTGTTCTAAAAATTTGTAAATGGAAGGTCATTGCACCACCCCCATGAGGCCATTGCTAATATGATCAGTAAACCTTTAGCATCACGTGATTGCCCAGATTGCCCAGCACACACGTGACCACCACTTAGAGTTAGAAGGGTAACAGCATTCTCCAACCCCAGAAGCCCACCCACCCAGCACAGCTGTAGGGAAGCAAAGCCTCTAGCCTTGTTTTCCCTAAATTTCTCTTACGTTGTCCATTGGAAGAGGGAACCAGCAGGGTCAGGAGCAGTGACAGCAGCAGCAATCCCCCTAGGACACGATGTAGGCCGACACTGAGGCAGGAGGAGGTGGCCTGGAGTCTGAGACTCATGGTGGGGAAGACTGAGCTGGAGCAGTTTCTGAGCCAGGACAGCTCCAAGCACAAGGTGGACAGTGCCTAGAGGTCTGTAGCAAGCAGCTTTATATACTTTTCGGATGGTTTCCATCCCACTGTGCTGCGGCCAGTGAAGCCGGAAGAGGGTAGCAGGGGAAGCAAGGGGATGTGGCGATATATCCATACAAGCATGGTCAAGTTGTGCCCAACCCAGATAAATGCCATGCAAGTCAGAATTCCTGCTAAATTAGTTACATTTTATGCATCATTTCCCATTCCTAATCTCCCTTTCTCAATACCATCTCCCTTACCCATGGGTAAGCACCCTCCCTAGGGAAGTTAGACTGAAAAGTTACATGTATTTTCTTTGTGCGGCCAGGTAACAATACGACATGCCTTTTCTACAATGCATTCCTAGGCTTAGTAGAAATTTATGAACACCTGAAGACACAAGCATGTGGCCCTTGAGAAACAGTTTCCTTTCCTTTCCAAATGGCAGAAAAAGCAGACATTCCTGCTCCGATTGTGATGAACGTCAGGGTCTGTTGGGTGAATATTGGGCATATGAGCCACTTACCATCAAACACTCACTTTAGTTATTAGCTTATGGCATCTGTCTTCCAAATGATTTGTCTTTTGTAATGTCACCCGGAAAGCAGAAGCAAACTCATCCCCCTTTGTATTATAAAATATTTGTTTCTACCATCTCATTGTACCCCCAAAAGCAAGACCTAATGTTTTTCTTTTGTTTTTAACCTAACAAAGATAGATGTTGTGATCTGTTGTACAAGATTCATATACAACAGGTACATGTGGAATCAAATGTGAACACTCCTTTCAAAATTACATCATCTTACTGTCCTTCAAATGTACCCACCAGCAACAATTAGTATTTGTCTTCCATTCTGTCTTCATTTATATACACTCTGTATATGTACACAGAGAGACACGCATACTATACAGAGATATACTTGTGTATGCATGGAGATAGATGTAAGTTTTTTATATAAATGAAATCATTCTATATAGCTCACCACTGTCTTTCAAAAATATGTATGAATTATACAGATTTTAACATTATTAATAATATCTTTCTTTGTTATCCACTATAACTGTCCAAAATAAGTTTTTGGTGATATTTTTGGCTCCATTGCACATTTTTTCTCTATGCTGAACACTATTCAAACCTCTTTCTTAGTTACGACATTTTGTAAGTTAGTTGTATAGAATCTATCCTGAGAGAAAATTATTTGAGTCACTTGGCACCAGGAAAGAGGTAGGTGTGTAGCACAATTGTATTAAGTCAGTCTTAGTCAAAAAACTGTCTTGTCACAAAAACACACCATCAGCAAGTCCCATGAGGAAGTAGTAACAAATTTCTTGTTATTAAAATTTCACAAGCCTATTAGTCAGCAGTTGAGAAAAAAAGAACTCTATGCCACTATGTATGTATTCGAGAAATATTGATTAGGCATCTGTTGTGGCTACACATTATAAAATTCTCATATGACTTATTCAACTACTTTGTTAAAAGCAAGACCTGAAGTAGTTGCCCAAAACAAGGGAGTATGAATAACACTTTAGACAGCTACTACTATAATTACTGAGACTGCTGCTATTAATTGCTTTCTCTCTTCTGCATATTTTCCTTCTATCTCTGTGATTAGAATCACAATACAGGTAGTGATAAACTACAAAAACGGGCAAAAGAATTTAAAATCAGTTATTCTATTAAAAGCAGGTAGTTTATACAAAATTATGACTTAAATTAGTGCCAGGAGTAGAAGCAAGTGTCAGGGTTCTGGAGTTTTAAAATAACTTGGCAGCCTTTTAGTGAATCTTCATTGTCATCCTGCTGTTGGCATTTAAAAAAAATTTTGCGGTAAGTTATTTTCTTATAAATAGCAGAGTCATTGAGGAAACAAGCAAGTTTGGTAAGACCTAAATTAGAACATATATGTCAGTAATTTTAAATTAAATATTTAGAGTCATTGGAGGACCATAAAAATTAAGATGTGCATTAACTTTACATTCCACAGCATAACTTGAAGTGGCGCCCCTCAAACCCTTCTTCTAAGTATAAAAGAAATAAGTTCTTCTGTGCGAATCAGCCATAAGAACAGTTGACACAGAATTCCTAGGGTTAATAACATTTTGGCTTAGTTACAGTTCCTTAGTTAAAGTTCCTTAGGCAAGAAATTAAAACAGTGGGCACCAAAAGATTCTCCCTCAGCGTGGAAACCATCTGTTTTCTGTATAACTGAGGTGACAACAGTTGTCCAGACTCTGACCTGAGGTTTTGCTGCGCTGTGTAGGGGTTGGGGGAAGACAGCCTGTTGGGTGCTGTAACATAGGAGTCCTGGGAGTTTGCAGGCCTCAGAATTTGTATTTGCTGAATATCAAGAGCATGACTACCTAGTCACTCATTTGAGGAAATTCTAACACAGTGCTGTTTGTGAACTTGTGAACCCCTTAAGTTGCTGCCCTCTTTTACTGTGTAACAAGTCAACCTCAAACTGGGTGGCTTAAAACAATAGCTAATTATTTCTGATGATCTGGTCTTTCTCTGCCCCGTGCTCACTTCTCCCAGCTCGAGTTAGCCTAAAGGACTCCAGGTCTCCTTCACGGAGGGACGCCTCCTGCTGGCTGCAAGGTGGCCCTGAGGTCCCTCCACATTCTCCTCCTCCTCTAAGTGGTGTCGCTTCTCAGTGATAAATGGAAATGTGAAGATGAGGAGGAGAGGAGAGAGAGAGAAAGAAAAGATGCAGTTCTTTTCTTCCTTCCTCCCTCCTTCCCTCTGTTCAGTCTTCCTGCCGTCTTATCTTTTCTGTTCCCTCTCCTCCCATCCTCTCTACTGTCAAGATAACCTTTGTCTTGTGGGACAGCTGAGGATATTTGCCATGAAAAGATCTTCACTCAGGAAGAAAACCCCTTATCATCATAATCTCCACATCAGAAGGGTCCTGTACAGGGCCTTGTATGAAATTATCAGTAAATGTTGATAAGCTGATATTTGATTGATATTTGATTTATGAATATAGATAGGAAAGATGGTGGGTCACACATCTTGATAAAAAAATAGGAAATATATAGGCATATACACAGATTCCACCAAAAATGTGTTTATCAGGAAAAGAAAAACTTACATAAATATTTTAATACTAAATTTATTGGGATCATGAGATTAGTACAAGTTACCCATGGCCTCTACCATTGCAAGAGGTGCTCAAAGTGCTGGTCATTAGCTTCCAGACATTTATTAGTAGGGCAAACTGCTGAAATGTGTATACATTTTTGGGCAGACTCTGTAGTTTCCAGAAGCCTCTTAAATAAGAGTCAGAAATAAATTTTCAGAAGCACTACCAGTCATTCAGACATAGATAGAGAAAATATGAACAGATTTTTAAAAACTAAGGTTGTTGAAAGTATCCAGGTCTCAGTTTTCTCACTGCACTGTGAGGGAGATTTGAATTGAGAGACTTAGGGAAGGACATACCCTTGGGAAAGTAGATATGGAACATCTGCTTTGTTCCAGGACAGCCCTTAGTGCCCTGTGATGGGTATTAGTCTACTAGGTTTACATGAAAGAACTGAGGAAGGATGTTAAGGAAATTATCAAGGTCTCATAGCTAGAAATACTTAGAACTGGATATGAAAAGCAACAGGTCTGATTCTGTACTGTACTCCAAAGTGCAAGAGGTCTTTCCAGGAAGGTCTCTTCCTGGAAATCAAACATTTTTCTCTTTGTCCAGCAGTGGAGGTAGATCAGAAACAGACACCATAAATTTACATAGCAATGCAAACACATCCATTAAAGGTGTTTTCCAAGGGCAAGAGTGGTGGTGGACTTTCTCTATATTTAATTAATTGGGCTCCAAAGTCTGCAGAAACAAAATTTTAGATCTAAACTATAGTTCTTCCCATGTTATCTCTTTCTACATGTTGGAAGTATGAATAATCTGTCTTGGGAATGTAATATTAATTCTGTGAACTCAGGTTCTCAGGCAGAATTAGAATCACAGGACACTCTCCTCTTCCTCTGTTTAGTCATGGCGGTAATGAGAACTCTGGGGTGTCTGAGCTGTCTGAGAAGTTTCTCACTTTGTGGCAACCAGGAAGGACTTTTGCAGTTACGTAGAGGAGAGTTACCTGCAGCAGTTCTTTTCCTTATTCAATAATTGAAACTACAACAGAAAAACAAAGCCACTGGTCATATTTTGCCATAGATCTTGTCATACCTCCAGGAATTAGATGATTAGTGAGTGTGTCACACCCAAAAGCAAGCACAAAAGGCTGGTGGAATGAATGAAGGCCATTATACACTGGAAATTGTCTAATTATACTAATGCTGTAAAGTGGATCTTAGCCTACCACTTGTTGAGTTCTAAGTAATTTCATGTATGAGAGGGAGTTTCAGGTGGATAAGAGAGTGAAATAATACAGATTAGCCTGAGAAAACTATTAGACATGTGTCTAGAATATCCATTAGGTAAGTGAATGTCCCCAGAACCATCCAACGTTGCATTTGTTAGTGGGAAGGCCAACTAGTGATAGTAGAAGCGATGACCAGTAGTTGCCACTGAGGTCCACAGATGAGTTGCACTTTGGAAATACACTGTCATGTATTTTTTCTTTATAGAATGGTGAATTGTAAGCTGGGCATGGCCATGAGAATTGCAAGGATTACAGAGAAGGCCTGATTCTATGGGCTATGAACAAACTAGACCTCTAGGTCTTGCTTTTAAAAACACAAAGCTCGCGAGCAATGATAAAAGCAAGAAGGAACTATTGCGTATCTATTCACAAGATTTTTACTTTGTTATCTAAATGGCTTCTAATATTCTTTCCCTTATTAATATGATCAGGAACCAGTCAGTAAGTATTTTGGAGCTGATAGAACACGTCAGTGATCATTTAAAACAGTGAAATTTACTGTGCAACATTTATGGTAATTTTGTTTGCTTTTTAGTGATTTCCATGGTTCAAAAAGAGTACTTTTTGAGAGAGCAAGGAGAGATCACACAGGCTTCATGTTTTTTAAACATTTAGAGATAGTTTGAACTTTTCTGTAGTGCTGAAAAACTTGTCAGTAAACTCTTATCCTTGACACTATTCTAGTTTTTACCATGTATTTGTATCTCCTTGTCTCTTTCTGTTGTATAGACACATATCAACATATACTGATAGAAAATATATCAACTTGATTAATATGTTAGGTATGAGGGAGATCATAAGATACAGAAAATCCTAGATTATACATAGGTATGCTAATAATACATTAGCAGGCTAGTATATGCAAATACGTACACTAGTTAGATTGGTCTTCTTCCTTTCTTTTTCTAAGAATGGGCTATTTCTTGAAATGTTATCTGAATACAAGAAAGACTTGAGGCTTGTTTTTCCCAGGTCACTCATAAATTTAAATGCCTCCTGTTTTAGCAGCCCAGGTGTACACGATAAGTATTGTCTCTGCCTGCATGAGGATTACAGGGAAATTGGAATAAATAGACACTAAACAAATGAACATTGTTGATGGACTATAAACTCTGCAGTCACCTTGGCAAGAAAACATGTGATTAAAGGGTAAAATGTGAGCTGGAAGGGAGAAGAGGTCAGCTCCAGGATGGGAGAGGGAGGGCGGGACTCAGCCTGGTGACAGTGGGGGTAGGTGTTACTGATGAGGGGATCAGATGCCCCAAAGTCTTCACTGGATTACGTGCTCGCAAGGGGGAAGGAGGCAGGGCACTGGTTTCAGGAAGCTGTCTCACAGACTGGGTCAGAATAATTTATGAGCTCTCACAGTCATTCTGTGCCACACATTGGAGATACAGAGTTGGAAATAGGGTTGATGTTCTGGGACAGTTCTTACCAGACGGGAGTGGAGAAGCCTAGAACTTAACGACAGCAATGAGCTCTGGTTTATAATCTGACTATGTGGAAGATGCCGTGGTAACATCAAAATGGAAAGCAGGTTCTCTGTTGCAAGCATTAAAGCAACTCCAGGAAGAGAAGTCCTGAGGCAAGTTCTAAAGGATGAGTCATTTCTTCCTATACACAGAAATGGGGCCAGTTCCTTCCAGGTAGAGCAATGGCAAATGCAGAAGCACGGGCCCAGGAAAGGTTGTACCTGGCTGGGAAGAAATGCCTGGCTACAGGAGTGTGAGACAGAGACGCTGTCAAGGTGATCAGCCATGAGCTGAGGCGGTGCCTCCCTCTCCATGCTTATGAAATGGGATGTGTGATACGCAGTTTGCACTTCTTAAACAAAGACTAGAGATGATCAGCTTGGAAAAGAGGGGAGGTTTATTTTGGCTGAGAAACTTGGTCAATCTATGATCAGTGGGCCTTGCTGGTTCAGGCACAATACATGCATATTCAGGAGCACAGGGTGGAGGAGATCAAGGGTAAGGAAGAGGGGGGAAGGCCAGGGCCTGTGTTGTCCAGGTCTCCTTCCAGGGCTGACTCTGATGGCCTATGCAACCTCTCCCCAGCCCTCCATCTGCCAGTGGACCAGGCTGGGGACTCAGCCTTTGACACCAACACCGGGGCCTCTAGGGGCCACTCCATACCCCATCACAGGTGGAACTCGTGAGGGTTGGAGACAGAGGAGCCTTCTTTGTGTTTCCTGAAGACCCCAGACAGCCGAGGAGGGAACTGGAAGGGGAGGGGTGTGGAGCAAGGTTGGGGGGTCAGTAGGGTGGGCAAGCGGGCTCCTCTATGAGCAGAGAGAAGAGTGAAGGGTTTCAAGTGATGTAGAATTAATCATGAGTGAAATCCATGCTTATAGTAGAAGAAAGACGAAACAACACGCATGAAGTTTAGAAATCTTTTATTTTTTTTTTCCAAAAACACAAATAAGTAGTATAAGCCAATCCAACACATGTTTTTAAAAGTTTCATTTTAACATTGTGGATGTGATACATATACGCTTTCACCTATAACAAAAAATAGTCCAAACTTTTAAACTGTAGACATGTAAAAGTCTTAGCAATGTTCTGTACTTCTGAAAGATTAAATGATGAAGTTATAAAGTAATCTATCAGATGTATTTTCAAAACTTTCAGAGTACCAATCATTGTTAAATTTGTTATTTAAAAAACACATACATTTCTATAGGCACTAGATATTAGGAATATACCTGTTTCATAATCTTCTTCATCTATTCAAAACATATATTTAGTGATCTAAATTATAATATACCTAATAAAATAGTTAATAAATAGCATATAAAATCAAAATTTAATGAGCATCATGACATTATGCCATACTAAGAAGACATCAAATGTCTAAAGTTACTGGAAGAGAATATATTATTCCTTATAGAACTTCAATATTTAGAAAGTCTAAATAAGGAAATATATTCTACATAAGTTCCTGTATGACATACCCAACTTTCTAATATGTGTAAGATTACTTAAAGAACAGACCAGGTCAAGAGTAAGGAATTCTGTAACACATTAGCCCAGAAACAACACTACAATATTTTCTGCTTCATTAGCAGAGTGAGAATAAGGTGTCTCTCCCTCAACAGCATTCTAACAAAACATAACTCGTCTATTAAACCGGTAGCCCTTCACTGACACTACAAGGAATATGTCCTAGAAATATTAACACGCAATGATTCTTCACTCATAATACAAATAACTACTGAGTAACAGCAAACAGCGGGAAATATTACACTAAATACTTATTAAATTAAGCAGAAATTCAGCAGCAAACATTTCCCTGTCCTCTTCCGAGCAGGGAAGCTACACCAAAAAATACTGGGAAAAAAAAAAAAAATCAGCCTTTCTTTTTTGTCTTTCTCGGATTCAGAGGCCCAAAGAAATAGAGCCCCTGCTGTCTCTGGAAGACTGGACAACTTTTCCAATGCACGGTGCTTCCTCTTGATCAGTTTTGCTTGTTTCCACTGCTGAGAAAAGAATTATGTCAGTTTAAGCAAATTTCCATTCCCTGGTTGACTCCAGCCCCATTTTCAAAATATAGTGCTGAAGAAGTTTGGTACAAGCAAAAATAAAAAAGTAAAAGCAAAGCTCAGACAAAAATGCATCTGTGATTGTAGCACGCTCCAGCGCTGCTGAGCCGGCTACAGAGTAACACCGGTAAGGGGGGCTGCCCAGGGCGCTCCGCATCCGCTACCCCTTCTCCTTGGCAACCTCTGGATCCTTAACCTGCTTTGGAGCGTGGTACCCAAACCCCACAGTAAGGGCTTTGCGCAGTCTGTTTCCCGAGGAAGAGATGAAAAAACCCACCAAGACCACAGGGCTAAGTACCTGTCCAGCATTTTCTGGATAACTTTCTTGAACAGCGGGGCTTCTGGGTCCAGACAGATTTGTTTCCCGTTCTTCAAGGAGGCTCTGCGGAGCAAAAGGGTGCAAGGTGAGCCGGGCTCCAGGGCAGACGGGCTGGAAGGGTCGCTCCCTCCCTCTCCCGGACCACTTACACCACTTCCACCCTGGGACAGTGCGGGCCTGAGGCGGTCACTTGCAGGCTGGCGATCATTTTGGGGTGGACACCTTGCGTGATGGTCAGACAGACGCAGCGGAGCTCTCTCATCGCCGCGACAGGACCAGCTGCGGGAGAGACGCCGAGGTTACAGGAGGGTCTGGGGACAGGGGGTAGAGGATGGGGAGCCCCCTCTCCTTGGGGCGCAGGGTCCCCGTCATTCTCTGCGTCCCCGCGCCCTCACCGTGCACTTGGGGCTCCGGCAGCAGCAGCAGCAGCGCGAGCAGCGCGCACAGCAGACCCGGGGTGCGGGAGGCGCGGCAGGGCACGGGGTGCATCTTGGACCTGGAGCTGGGCGAGACGGAGGCGGCGCGGGTGGAGGCTCCGAGCGCTGTGCGTCTCCGGTCCTCCGCGCTCTTTTTATCTGCACTCGCACGGGTCCCGGAAACTGCAGTTTGGAGCGCGGAGAATTCTCTAGATTTGGGGGTGAGGGGCTGAGGGTCGGCGGAGGCGGGGAGGAGCGCGAGTGGCCCCGCCCCGCTCTTGGTGCCCGGACGGTCTGAGCCCAGGGCACCTCGCCCTGGGCGGCCCCGCGAGGACAGAGTTGGGGAGGGCCCCTGCCAACATCTAGGGAGCAACCCTGTGACCGAAGTGCTTGGGTTGGAGCACGCCTGGAGGCCTTTGGTTCTTGTGATCATTATGCTTATTCAAGAAGTGTAATCTGTGCTCTCAACAGTGCGTAAAACCCAGACCCTTCTCTAAGGCTTCCCGATTGCTCAAAGAGTCTGGGTGCCGGCCAGCTTCCCAAGCCGAGCAAACAGCATGAAAAGAGCTTTTCCTCCCACTCAAGTCAGCTGCAGGAACGGGCTTCGAAATCAAATCTGCTCACTGAAAATCCTACTCTTAAAGTTTAGCAAAAACTGTGTGTGTTTCCAAGTGGTTTAAAGAAAGAAACAACAACAACAAGAAATCACCCAACAAATGACCCGGAAGGTGATACTTTGCTGGTGGCAGTGAGGTACCTCACACTGCACTGCTGAGGGAGAAGTTCTGGTCTCCCTAGGCCGGCAGGCTAGGCGAATGCAGAGGAAAGAGGCAGTGGAGACGCCTGCCAGGCCAGGTTCAAGGGAAGTTTGAGCTGCGGGCTCCAATGAACTTGGCAGCAAGATAGCACCTGCTCTGGCTTCCCCCAGCAACCTCACGGGGTGGGGTGGGGGTGGGCGGCTCCTCTCATCATTTCTGCAGCCTTCCAGCTTGGTGGTTTACTGGTGACCAATGCTATTATTCCCAGGATCTGTTCTGGAGCCCAGAGCTGCCTCTCCAATTGAAGAGTGGTGTGGCGCCCAGATCCTCTCCCTCTCTTTCCTTCTCCGCTGGGGGTACTCGGGTCACTGACTTCCAGTGACCACTGTTCACGCCCTGACAGTCATTGCTGTGACACACATTTTTTTTCTTGGACCCTAACTCGATCCTCTTGGAATTGTTCTGAAGACCTTGGCCTCAAAGTCACAATGGCAATCACAAGTGACTCACTGAATCAAACACTTTTCCTGGTCCCCTGTGAGCCTTGGGATTTTTTTTTTTTAGTTCCTCTGCTCATCTTTCTTGGAATAGCATCACCTCCATCGCTGAGCAAGAATGGAGTGTCACAGACCTCAAGACCTTTCGCTCTGGAAGGAAACTGAGTCTGCCGAGGAAGGCTGGGAGGTTTGTGGGAAGCTGCATGGGAAGCTGTGGGTCCAGCGCTGCTTCCCGATACCATCAGCAACGCCCCTGACTCAGAGAATGTAATCCTTCATCCTGCCGGGTGTGGCAAACGTCACAAAGCGGCCTGCAGTTTCATTATATTGACTTTGTGGAGATTAGAATGTGCTTAAAGACAAAAGATAAGCCTCTCTGAACTGGCTAAGACAAAGCTTCGAAAATGTGACCGAAGATCTTGAGCAATTAAATTCAGCTTAACCACAGGGAAGAAGCCACATTATAATAAAACTCTGTGGGAAGCAGTTTAATGGCATGGAGTGGGGAGAGACTTCCAAGTGAGCTGTTTTAAGTATAAGTGAATGTGTGAATTAACTTGGGACACCAAGGGGTAAGATCAGATAAGTCGCAAGAGGAGCCTGCTGCTTCTACCTGACAGTCTCGTACACGCCTCAGCTGATTTGTAGTCTGATTCAGGGGATCATGAAGCACTTGAAGAATCTAAGGGGAAAAACTGTTTCTCCACTTGGCTGCGGATAGTAGAAAAATCCCCACTCAGGGTGGCACCACCTCGTCAGGAAGGAGCATGAAACTCAACTGAAGTTCTCACTGAAAGGGTCCTGCTCCCTGTTGCGGCTGGCGGTCTGAGCCTTGTTGGTGTTGACCTTCCCCCACAACAGCAGGATCCCTGAGGTTGAGACTGACAGTAGCAGCACCAGTGGACACAGAGCTTTAAAAGCAATCACCGCATTATTGCAGTTTGCAGAAAGACATTTGTCTTCTTGCGCTGCAAGCAGCTGACAGAGAGCAGCTCCATGTTGCTTTTTCTCACTGGAATAAAACAACCCACCAAAGGGCATTTTCATCTGGAGAGCCCAAGAGGGTTACTGCCTTTCAGAAGCAATCCAGTTTTAGCCATAATAATACAGACTGATGTACTGTGAAGTCCTCTTCCCCTGTTATCTACTGAGAGCGAGGCCAGAGAGAAAGACTTAGGAAGCAGTGAATCCAGGGTTGGGAGAACATGCCATGAGCCACTCTTAATGGTTTCCACGTTCTTTCCTGCCATCAGCAAACACCGCAGGGCCTCTCCACAACCTGTTAACTATTTTGTTGTGGTACCCAACACCATGACTTAAACTATTGAAATCTGCAGTCAGTCTCTCCACTGCTGTCTTTGGGGCCACAATTTATCAAAGGTGCTAGAGACATTCTGGGGTTAACCAACTTGGAACCTTTTACCTTCTGTACTTCACTTCCTTCAAGACAAGTAGAAGTCCTGTCTGCTCTAAGAAGGCTTTTCCTGATAAAGCCATTTGAAATGTTTTCCTTTCACCCTTGGTCTTTAAACATCTCATGTGTTTACCATACCTCCCCGCTGAGGCCAACCTTAGTTATTCCTTCATTTTGCTTTCACTTCCCTTGAGTTAACTGGAAAGTTTTCTGAGCATTGTTGTCTTATATTTCTTGGATAACTTCTAGTAAGTTCTAGGTTCAGTAATAAGCAGTCCAAGGGCCTCTGATGAGATATAGTTTCATGATAATTGCTTTTTATTTTATAGAGTTCGTTACCCCAAGAGTATATCTTAAAGATAAGGAGGAAAGGAAAAGACCATTAACTATCCTCACCCCTGTACATTTTGGAGCTCCATTATTTTGACTTGGCTTTCTCCTCCATTGGAAAATATGTCTTGGTTATTCTTAGAGAAAATTCAAGCAATATTTTTAATCACTGGAGTCAGATCTAGCCAAAAGAATGTTCAGAACCCAGCAATATATTGGATATTAAAGGAAAGAAGATTACACAACTGAAATATTGACCAAGTTGCATATTTTGTGTGACTTGAAGATTTTTGGAAATAAATGAGTAGAGGAAAATGTGATTAAACTACATTGAATGTTAACAATAAGGCAATGTCATTTTAAAGTCTCCTAACAAACTGGAGAGGCTTGTACTTGTGAGATTTAGGGTATAGCATAGGCCTTTTCAAATACATTTCTCATTTTCTATTTTCCTTTGCATTGACTACTCTTTTCACATTTCCTAAGAAATGCAGTACAACTGCACTAATTAAGAATGTTGACCAACATAGGGTTAAACATATCAAGGATATCAAAGTACGGAAGAAAATAAAAGTTTAGGTGGAGGAAAGACATTTGTTTATACACAAAAGAAAAGGAAAAACCGGTAACTCTTGGGGTAACTTTGCCAAATCAATGCAAATCACCTTCTTTCACACAGGGGCTGGCTTTCCAGTGAGAGGCAGCTGCATTCAAGGAATCTGTTTGTTCCAGAGTTTTCTAGACCTTTACTGTTTGATATGGAGAATATTCTCCTTCCTTTTCTGTATTACCCATTTTTTTCTTACTGCCCAAGTCAGATTAAATCTACTTGAGGAAGGAATGAATCAATGGTTCTTGAATCCATTTCAAGTTTGATTCCAGTAACCACAGCTGGACTTTTGCTGGGTATATGGGTCTCTATTTAACCACAGCTGTGCAAACTAAAAAAAAAAAAAAAAAAAAAAAAAAAAGTGTTATTAAGAGGAGATGATACAAGGGGAAGAGAAGATAAGGATTAAAGTTTTAAATGTTTGCAAAAATCCTTGGGCTTCTCAGAAATAGGAAATATTTATTCCTTTCTTCAGAAATTTGATCTGAAAATAAATAAATAAGAGAAATATAATTTTTAGTGTTAGCTGTGTTAGATAATTTTGAGGAGATATTTGCATGAACTACAAAAGATGTTTTATGGAATTAGACTTCTAACACTGTGCTTAATAATATCCAGTTGCTATATTGTTTTTGACCAATATTACCTTCACGTCATGTTCCTTTCTTAGCAGAATATTCATGTATGCCTCCCCTCACAATTCTTATTTAATAGGGAGGACTTTGTCCTTGCTGCTTTACTTGGAAGAATCATAATGTATCTATATGTGTGTTATTTATGTTTTATAGACAGTTGAATTCTGTTTGTCTCCCTATGCCTGATTGAAAAACAATACCAAAAACCTAACATTTGACAAGCATTGAAGACAACGTTCATGAACTTGTAAGAATGCAACATGTCTTATAGATGACTCATTGCCTTTTTTTGGTTAAATTTGATTATGAATTCCTAGTGAGTAACTACATGCACACTGAAAATACTATTATTACAAGAATTAAGAATTAGGAAATAGCTACCACTGACATAAAATATGTTGCAACACTAAGCTCAAAGTCACAGAATCCTAGAAATTCTGGCTTATGTTGTACCTCGAGCCCCTTACTAACCACCTGGGATTTTAAAGCATAGCTTCCCATGAAGAGCAAACTGATCAAGTGGCTTTAACAAGATGTCTCACTTTGAATCATTTTGGTTTCAAAACATTTCAGCATTAGTAAAGCAGACTAAAAGTCATTTTATTTGGAACAGAATGTCCCTGTGGAATGGTTTTTATTTTTTACCTCATTAAATTTGAGATGAGAGTGAAGAATGTTGTGGCTAGGGATTATGTCACTGAAAAGTGGTTAGTGTATTAGGATAGACCACAACTGGTATCTGTCATAGTCCGGCTATGCACAAGACAATTCTTGGGAATAAAACTTGTAAAAGCTTTACATAAAATATGCAGTCAGCTTTCTATGATGACTTGAAAACAAATCATTACTTAAATTGAAGGATTATTAGAAAAAAATTTATTACTTAAATTGAGGGATTATTAGATTTCTTGAGGAGTGAAAGCTTGCCTTGCCTGGATTCCAGTCACTCTTGTGGAGGTCAGCATGGCGTGTCAACTTGACTAGCGGTGGGATCCTCCAGGATTGATGGGGCACACCTCTGGGTGTGTCTGGTTTCTAGTTGGGTGTTGGAAGTACAGCCCCTTCCTCTCTTCTCCTGCAGGAGAACTGAGCAGCAGCACCACTTTATCACGCCCTTCCACCATGATGTTTGCCTGCAGCAACCATGAGAAATTCAAACTGTCGTCCTTCAAACTGCGGGCAGTAGGCATTATATCCATATATT